ACTGAGATCGTCTTTAATCAAAACAATGACCGTCAGGACCATATCCGAAAATCTCCATATGTGAAATCCAGTTGTTATCCACAATCCACATTAAGGGATATAGGTTCTCCTAAAGTATACAGATGATAGAAAAAAGAAAGAAAGAAAAGGCCAAAGACATAGAAAAGAAATATACTAATGGCAATTTTACTGGATCCCAAAATCTCTACATTAAAAATCAGGTGTTATTGACATAGCTTACAATAATGAAACATAGATCACATCAAATAGGTAGATCAGTACATATACATGCATTGCTAGCTTGTCAGTGAATCGATTAGCTTGTTAAGATCACTTTTATGGCTACTTTTAAACTAGCTCCCACTAAAAACACTGATGTTCTAGAGCCATCTACTACACTAGAAGGCTGAGTGCTACTTGCTTGTGTGGAGCCAAGGTTCCCAAAGCCTCCAAGACGAACTTTTTATTTGGAACAGTGCCATCTTTATCCATTCTTTGGTTCTTTAATCCAAAGAACCACCGCTTTCAAAATTTCCTAAAATATGTGAATCCAGTTGTTATCCATGTAATAAGAGATATAGGTTCACCTAAACTATAGAAATAATAGAAAAGAAAAAAGAAACAAAGAAACAAAGAAACAAAAGGCAAAAGACCTAGAAAATCAATATACTAATGGCAATTTTACTGGATCCCAAAATCTCTACATAAAAGATCAGGTATTGTTGACATAGCTAACAATAATGAAACAAAGCTCACCTCAAACAGGTAGCTCATCACATTGACATGGTTTACTAGCTGGTCAGTGTACCAATTAGCCTGTTAAAATCGCTTTTATGGCTAGTTTTAAACTACTCCTTACTACTCAAAACTGGTGCTCTTGAACCATCTACTACACTAGAAGGCTGAGTACTAATTGCTTGTGTGGAACCAAGGGTTCCCAAAGCCTCCAAGAAGAACTTTTTATTTGGAACAATATCATCTTTCTCCATTTGTTTCACTAGCATCTCTAAAAGGTCCATCATGTTGGCTTTTGTGTATGCCTTATAAAGAAGTTTATATGTCGAAGAATCAGGCAAAACCTCCTTTGTGCGTGCATATTGCAAGAGGAGGTCAGCTTCACCAGTCAACCCATTCATACAATACACATCAAGCATTGTATTCAGTGTCGAGACTTGTATCTGCATACCTGAATCTATCATCTCAGAGAATATATCTCTTGCCCTAGAGACACAATCACAATACCCATAAGCCATCATCAGGCTCTCATATGTGATAAAACTCGGTTTATAGCCTAAATCAATCATTTTCCTAAAAACCCATTCAGCCTTCTCCCTGAGCCTAGCTTTTCCATAGTTGGTAATCATTGAATTGAATGTTGGTAATGTAGGCTTTTCCTTGGAGCGCAACAAGCTCTTGAATACTTGCTCCATCTTATCGAAAGCCTGGCGTTTCCCATATGAATCGATTAGTAAGTTATATGTGATTGTGTCGGGTCTACATTGGTTCTTTCTCATTCGCAATAGCATTGCCTCCAATTCAACAAGCATTCCATTCTTCCCATACGCATCCATAACACCATTGTAAGTGTAAATATCAGCTGAAAGAGCATTTGTTTCGAGATCTACGAATAGGGTTTCAACCTGGTAGACATCTCGAGACTGTGCAAAAGCCCTTAAGAGAATGTTATAAGTGACAATGTTGGGTTTACATCTCTCTATACCTTTCATCTTTTCCAAGTATCCCATGGCTTTGGCCAAGGCCTTTGTTTTATCCTTTGAATGCAAATGTGCAGTGATAAGAGCATTGTACACCGAAGTGTCCGGCCGACAACCACTGTTGCGCATCTCAGAGAAGAGCCACATTGCCATTCGGGTCTGCCCTTTCTTTCCCATTACTGAGATCAACTTTGAATAAATACCGTTATCTGCAACATACCATTGTTGTTTCTGCATCCATCTGAATACCTAGATACAAAATCAGAAAACTGTAAGGAATAACAATATTCTGCATTTCGCATACACATGTGTACGCACATAGAGAGACAGAGAGAGGTTCACTAATAAATTTGAAAAAAAACAACAGGCTCTCACATTTCCCTAATGAAGCAATTTGCACTTTCAAAGGCCAGTTGATCCTTGACCAATTCGGAGAGGAAGTGGTGTTCTTTTCAATAACATAATTTGGAGTTACTCACAAATTTTTCATGAATGGAAATGTTATTAATATCCAAAACAAGCAGGATATATTACACACTTTTATGGGCATTATAGTATTGGGAAATATTTGTCAAAAAATACACGATGACATGTGATGCAACATGATGGCACTCATGCTCGCTTCATTGTGCTTGCAACTTGGGGCACATTAAAAAAATTTCCGAAAAATCCCAAAAAATTGTTTAAAAAGGGGAGATTATTCTATACATTTTTTTATAATTTGGATGTTATTGGCAAAGACTGGTGAGTTTTTTTAGCATAATTATATTTTCTTTTTTTATTTTTTAAAATGTCCCCAACTATTTTTTGAAATCCATGTTTTCTATACCTTTTTAAGCCTATTTGGAGTTTTTAAGGTTGTTTTTTGGTTTTATTTAACTCTTAGTAGCTTCATTGTAAATTTTCCTATTTTAAAATTTATCTAGGGCTTTTGGTCCTGTACAGAACACGACCAAGTAACTAGCCTTGGCCAAAAGCCGAGTCCCTTGGCCGAGGAGAGTCGGTCTCATCAAATGGCCAAACTAGCAGAAAGTATCCGTAATTCATGGTAATCATACTTGGATTATGTACGATTCAATAATAATAATAATAATAATAATACTTGGATTATGAAAAGGGATAAAAGAATGGTTGCTCTAAATGTTAAGTTTTTGACAAGCATTCGGCATGAAAATCATCTAATGATCTGCTAGCTCCTGAGGTAATTGTTTTTTTAGCAGCTAATTGTAACAGTTTGTCTTTTCAGATGCACAGGTAGGCATTAACTACATCAATCAAATTAGATAGAATCGAATATAAAAGAAGCATCCATTAAAAAAACCATTAGCTTCATGAAAAGAACATAGAAATAACTCAAAAGAACAATAAATGAATAACTGCTGAAATTAACAGGAAAAAAGCAAGTGGGGCCAAACTCAAACCCATCAAACACAAAAAAAACAAAAATAACCAGCTCTAAAAAGAACCCCTAAAAGCGAAAAAGAATAAAATCTTCTGAAACATCAAAAACCCACATAATCTATAACAAAAAAATCAGGGAAAACAATGCTTACTTCAAGACATTGTAGCCAATTATCCCTCTTCCCAAGCTCTTCAAAAAGAAGGAAACAATGCTCATTTCTAATAATTCTCACATACTTGTTCAGTGTGCTTATTAAAGGCTTATCCTTGCTCGAATTTCTCACCAACACTGAAACAAGCTCTTCCACCTCTGACTTTTCACTATTCTGTGACCTCCTCTTCTTTGAGGGAGCCAAACCACATGTAATAAATTTGGGAGCTTTTTTGCAGAGGAAAAACTTCGCCACTAAATTTGGCGGGCGCTCTCCAAATTTGGTAGAGAGATTGATTCGTTGTTCAGTGAATAGTGATGGAGAGGGGAGGATTTGAAGGGGAGAAAGAGCAGAGAGATTTGGAGGCATTTTCAGTGGAGTGTTGCCAAAGTTAGGGGAGGAGGAGACGGGGAAAGAGAGAGAGAGACTCTCCACATTTGGGGCAGTTTCAGCGTGCTGCAAAACCTGCACATGTGCCCCCTTGTATAATGCCGCTTAAATATGGATTTTAGATCCAAATTATGATCTTGTTAAAGTCAACATGAATATTGAAAAGAGAAAAATCAAGTTAAAAATGTGTTTTTTTTGGGGGATTTGTTTTTTGTGTAGCATCCATATGTTAATTTTAGCAAGAGCCCGCTGACTCATGAAGAACTTTTCCTCCTAAAAGTGGTGTTGGAGTCGGACGCCCCCAACTTTTGAGGGGTTAGTCCGTAAGAACTCATTTTAATTTTATTTAACAAAATATGTTTAATTTTATTTAATGGGTTTGGTCTAGTCGAATCTTAGTTTTACAAATCGGTTGGACCAAATTTTAAAAAATATATATAAAAAAAAATCTGATAATTAAAAAATATAAAATATATTACGAAAATATATTTCAATTTTATTTAGCGAGACAAATCTGGTAAAAACAAGGTGGTCGAATAGGGTAAAAATTAAGTTTTTGCTTTAGTAGATCAAAGTAGGCATCATTATGTAATAGGATTAGATAATATGTTTTAGTGTTGATAATAATAGTGTTTGATTACTCGGGTGAGCCATCTCGGACTCGCTCAAGTAACTCGGACGCACTACCTCGGTGAGCCTGAGTATCTCCGAGTTGTGTGTCCAACTCGATGATCTCAAAAAAAAATCAAAAAACTTAAAAAAAATTGACTCACCACCCTAGCAAGTCTGAGTAATCACGAGTTGTGTATCCAACTCCAGGATCTAAAAAAAACAAAAAGAATTAAAAAAAATCAATAAATAAGAAATTTATTAATCATATGTTTTTTTGTTTCATATCATTTTGGCAAAGATTGGAAAGTGTTTAGGTATGAATACTTATATTCCTTTTTCGATTCGTTTTTTATTATTTCTAAAATACCACCATCACATATTGACTTTTTCAAAATCCATTTTTCATAACTTTTTTAACCTCATTAGAATGTGTTTTGTTTAATTGTACTTAAACATATTCTTCCTCTCTTTTTTTATTTTTTGTTTTTTATTTTTAACACTTTTTGGCCTTGACCAGAACTCGGCCCAACTCAGCCCGAGTTCCTCGGACTCGAGCCTAGTTCTCAGCTCGGGACTGGGCTAAGCATCCGGCCCAACTCACTCTTTCCAAGACAGCAAGATTTGGACCCGCCAAGGCAACGATTGACGATCCAACTAGTTGACAAGACAGTCCAATGTCATGTTTAACGAAACCTAAAAATCAATTGATTCTAGTTTTTATAAAGGGATTGTATACAATGAGACAATGTACCTTTAATACAATGAAGTCACAAGTATTTATAACCATCTTATGTGAAATCCAATAGCTTAGGTGTGTCCTATAGTTTGAGAAAAATTCTTTTAAAGTTTAAGCTTGGTAAATAGAATAAATGCATCCATTCAATTTCACATCCAATGATAACAATTAATTGTGACCACCTTGTACCAAAGGTAAATAGTCTCGTTGTATTTTCTCTTTCAATATGCTTCTATTGTGTCAATAAACGATTGTGTCAATTAGATTTTTCAATAAAAAAATCATTTCTCCAATCAATAAACGATTTAATCCCTCATTTATGATGGCAAAAACCACAATATACCACAATTAGGTTAATAATAGCATGGTAAAAAATCATTTTGTCTTTTCATGAAGTTCCAAAGCTCCAGCCTGCAAATTGAAGTTTTCCCTTCTCTAAACTTGTCGTTTAATAGATCACATCCCCTAAGAATGGGTTCCAAAAAGTACTCCTAATTGCGGTTTTGCTCAATGGAGCAAATGCATATTTTGCTCTTATGGGTGTATACTGATCTTGTGAGTTTATGAAAAGACAAAATACCTCCCAGAGGAAAATGTTTATACAAGGTTGACACTTTAAAATATGGAATTAAGATACATATCTAAAATCCTTCAAAAAATGTTGTTTTGACGTTCGAAAAACATTGGATTTATCACCTCGACATCGAGATGTATAAATATGAAAAAAAAAAAAAGAGATTTCTAATCCTAAACATAACACATCTTGTAACACATTATTTAGACTGTCCTAAAAAGTTTTTAAACCAAAATTGCATTTCATTACAAAGTTTGGAGGTGCACCTTACTTTGAATGTTTAAGGTTGTACCCTTTATGCAAACCATGCCCTATTCTAAATCAGTAGTTTTGGCGATTTTTGAAATTAAATATAAGCATCTTGAAATCAATTAGAACATGAAATGTTAAATAGTTCCATCTCAGAGGTTCTTTTTTTATCAATTTTCCTAAAATAATTTAGGAAAATTTTAAATAAATTAAGAAGAATATTATTAAATAGCTTGAATTTTCTTACAAAACTATTAAATGGCTCAAAGGATTTCATGAATCACTGTGGTCTAATTTTTTAAATTTTATCTCATAAAAGTGTCTCTCTCAAAAATATTGGTGAAAAAAATTCTAAATTACCCAAGTTCAAAGTTGGGAATCCCAAACAAACAGAGATATTGTGGTAATTTAGGCTCCTTAAGTGGGCCTGGAAATAGGCCGAGCCTGGGCCCAGACAAAAACTCATATATTGCTCACTTTTTTTGGACCATTCGATAGGCCGTCCTTCTACAATAGCCTTTAGACATAACTCTCTTCGGATAGGATTTAATTTTATGTGAAATCAATTGTCTTGTCTAAAATTAATATACTATAGATAATAGTATTATTTTTACTTGTTTGGTAGTATCGTATATTTTGCATAATATCATTTAATTATTTATGTATTTAAGTTATTTTTAGCTACTTTTAAAGCAACAAAAATGTGAATTTCAGCTAATTACTTTGAAGAAAATGCAAATAGTTATTCAAATAATAAAATTAATTACAAAATCGCCTATAAGTTTATTTGAAATGACCTTATGATGGATCCTGCCTGATAACTTGTTATCCATAATAATTATTTTATTGAAACAGTGACTTATCCATGATAAACAGTGCATTCAAACAGGTACCAAGACATTCAAATAGAAACAAGGCTTCTCTCGATGAAGTGCGATGTTTTTATTAAAGAGGGGCCTATCTAAAGTTACATGTATGGTCATCATGCATTCACCCATAATCATGATGTTATCACCCTTGCATCAATGGGTTGGAGGGTCATTATGGGTGCACGTCCCCGCTTCTCCTCATCAACGTCAACCTGTTGATTGGACAGTTCTAAACGACGTTAGCATTGTCAATATGATTGCTCATGCTTCATTAGATGATTATTCTCAAAATAAAATAAACTAAATTTTGAGCTTTGGAATACTTAGATCTTACCCTCTTATATGGTTTCTACGTTAAATTTTTTTTTTTTTTTTGACAATGTTAACATTTTATTTATTGAAAATCAATCAATCGTTGAAAATACAATTGATTACAATGTAAAACACAGGTCCTCATAAAGAACTATAGATGACATCGATTCTCACCTTTTAACTAATCTACCAGCCACCATATTTGCCTCTCTACAGACGTGTGAAAGAACATCCAAAGATTCATATATATCTATTATATGTGACCACATCTATCTCAAATTCCACGGTACAACTTGTTATTTCTCCTTAAAAATTAAAAGACCTTGCAGAAGATATTTTAGCTCATCTTGTTTTGTTGTTGCCCAATGGAGTAACTGGACACTGTACATATATGGTTGCAACCTTATAGAAATAAGGGTACACCTTAAAAGTTAAATACAAAAGAGTATTATGAAGTTCCAAAATATTCCAATTGATCATGTTGATCTCAAGATGTATATATAAAATGAGAAAAACATAAGTTCAAATCATAAAATTAGTACATCTTGTAATAGATTTTTTAAACCTACTTTCAAAATTTTCAAGCGTTTATAAACCTGTTCCATTTGCATAATTTTTAAAATTTTATTATAATTAAGACCAAACATAGACGTCAAGCCACCGTAAGGTTTCAGACGCCTAAGCTACATCTTTCTACAAAGTCTAAAGGTGCGTCTTATGTAAAGAATAAATTAACACCTTAGACAAACCTCACCTATTATATTTTGGTGGTTTTGAATATAATAAATTATTACTAAAAATTATATACTATAAGACTATTTATCTTTGTTATAAGGAGCTCACATGAATTAGAGGATTAACACATTCTAAAAAAAACTTTGGAAAAAGATCTAAACCGCATTCCCCTTTTTTGAAGAGATCGTTTAAAAGGACAGAGTTTCTACCAAGACTAGGCTTTATGAAAACTAAATAAAGCGTTACCTTAAATGCTCATACGGAAAGTACTTTTAGCAATAGAAATCTCCAAACATAATGCATACAAAATTAATTTTCAACACAGACAATAATATTTGAAATTTAAAAAATGGTACAGATCTTGCAGATCTATAAACCCTTGGTTTTAGGGTGAAATGGACAGTTTAGATAATTTGTTACAACATAAATTATTATTAGAACTTAAAATCCTATTTTTCTTCACAACCATAACATTCAAGTCAAGCTGATCAATGTAAGGTTTTCTAATACTTAAATTATAATTGGAAAATGGTTTGATAGGGCTGATGCCCTATCAAAATAAATAAAACCTTACCTCATGACTCATCAAAATTGCAGTTCAAGCATTAGAAAACCTTTACATCAACCGTACTGGCTTGAACATTACGATTATAAAAAAAAAAAAGGATTTCAAACCCTAAAAATAGTATATATTACAATAAAAAAATTATAAAAAAAAAAATTCAAGCTCTAAAAATAATATATATTATAATAAATTACCTAGCTTTGCACCTTAAAAGTAAGTGTTTTTTGATTTGTAAGATTTATACAATGTTTTGAGTTTCAAATTTTATTATCGGTACTAAAAATTAATTTTAGATCAATAATAGATATTCCCATTGCCGAAAGTACTTTCCGAATAAAGATTTGAGGTGGCGCTTTATTTTGTTTTCATAAAATCTGGACCATCCATTATAATTTTCGATGAGTTATGAAACGAGGTTTACTTATTTGATAGATGATGCGGCCTACCATTTTCCTTCAAACGAAAAAAGTACTCTCCGAGACCCATAAAGCAATTATTCTCGCTCTACACATCCCATCAAAAGCGAAAATAAGAACAAAAAGAAGGCTCCTATGCTGTTGTCAATTTCTTTATCCCAAATGATCGTCAAATATGGAGGGCGATTCCAATTCCCCGGCGACTGAACCCGATTTTCCAGTGGCTTCCGGCGAATTCCCTGTGGATCTGTACATCACCAAAAGGCCCATACATTTCGGCCCTTCATATCTAACTGTCACTGATTTCAACGGCGATCCGGTCTTCACCGTTCATCACAAATTTCGCAGCAAAACTCGCCTCTTGCTCGATTCATCAAAAAACCCCATACTTTCCATCCATGAAAATGTAAGCCCCCTTCTTCTTTTTCTTCTTTTTTTTTTCTCTATTTTTTTGTTATTGGGTTTTTTCAGCAGATAATTTTATTGGGTTTTTTTAGCACATAATTTTTGTTAAATTAATGGGCGATTTTTTCATCAGGGTTTATTATGTGAAGCTTTCCGAGTAATTGACGGCGAGAAGAGAGATAAGATTTTCAGTGTCAAAAGATCGGAATTTTCTCGATTTAAAACGGAATTGGAGGTTTTTATTGAGCCTGAAAATATTTATGGAAATTATAAAATTGACAATATTGGTGATGACACAATTTACTATGATAATCAAGGGGAGGAAATCTGCGATTTAGTAGTAAAGGGCAGCCCTTATCGAAGATCATGCAGCGTTTACAGGGGATGCTCGATAGTTGCTCAGGTAATTGCCATTTTATTCTATTTTATGTGTTTTTATTCTATTTTTATGTTTTTTTATTTCTTTATATTTCCTTTATTCAAATTTTTTTTTTTTTGGAAACATGGGTTTTAAAATTCAAGTTTGATTGGTTTTAAAAAATTTCGGCGGATTTTTTTGGGCCATTGAAATTTTAGGGGTGTTTTTTCTTTTAGCCTCAAATTGGGCACATATTCACCTAATTTTAGCCAATTCGGTCCTTTTTTTCTTGTTCATTGTCTTCTCTTTATTATTTTCTTTTTTTATTTATTGGAGTAATTATTTTCTAAATTTCACGGCCAGTTCAAGCTATATTGCGTTTAGAAAAAATACAATTATGGTGTATCTTTTTAGTGAAATTTGAATGTTTTCCTGATCACACAGTGGTGGTTAATTTGAAATTGTGATTATTTGAATTTTAGTATCTTGATTACATTTGATATCGTTTTACTTAGGAAAAGCCTTATAAATCTATGGGCGAAGTTGAATAGTGTTTAGCTCAGTTGCGATTTTGTCTTAAAAGTCATAATGGCTCCACAACCGCGTGGTGGCTTCATTTTTCTTATGGTTTCTTGATTATATCTAATTTTACTCTCTCGTATCTCCTTATTAACTGAGAATCACATGCACAAATTATCTTTGCACATACTATTTTTTGCCTAATTGAGTGAGTTTTTGTCAAATTTTTGGTGAAAAAATCTCTTTTGTTAATTTTGCATTGTTATGCTTTTTTCTCTTCTTTTTTTTTTTGTAAATTCGATGAGTATTTCAGTTCTGGTTTTAATGAAATTCTAAATAATGCTTTATTATGTTGAAATGGGTTTAAACTCTTGAGGTGAAATGAATGATTTATGATATTGGGTTTTGCAGATGTGTCCCTTGCACAGGCTTCGAAGGATTGTGGTGGGAAGGTTCAAGTTTCGGCTCACTCTTTTTCCTGGAGTTGATCAAGCTCTAATTTTGGCGTTAATTGTAATATTCTTAAAATAGTATAATTTAGGATAACACAAGCGCACACACACCATCTAGGGTTTCAGGCGACTGTAGACCGAGGTTTAAAAATCAGATCCGATTTTTCCCGTTCAAACTGGAACATATGGTTGACAGGTCCGAGTCCCTCGGAAATGGGGATGGGAACAATTCATCCAGGGATAATGTTTTTATGTGTTTTAATGTTATAAAGAAAAACTTTGCTTTCATATTGATTTGGCAAGCTTCTTTAAAAAAAATTAAATAACCGGCACTGTTTTGGGCCTCATTAATCAAAATTATGTCATTTGTGAACAACATGCACCACTGTATCTCATTTTATAGTTATATGGTTAAGTCGTCTATAATTGAGACAAAGAGGTATGGGCTCAATGCTGACCCTTGATATAAATTTATTGTCACTAAAAACTTACATATTTTTCCACTAGTTGTTTGTATACTAGTCAGCTATTCATCGTACATATCTCTCACCAAGTTAATATATGGTTTGAAGACTCATTTCTTTCTCAATACTCGTCAAATCAAATATCGAGGTACTCTATCATAAGCTTTTTCTAGATCAATAAATACCATGTGGAGGTATTTTCCCTTCATCTTAAACTTCTCAATGAATTACCTAAGTAAGAAAATAGTCATAGTTGTTGTCTTTTCTGGCATAAAACTAAATTGGTTTTCAGATACATTTGTTTCATACTTTAGTCGTTGTTCAATCACTCTCTCTTAAAGCTTCATAGTATAACTCATAAGCTTACTCTTTCGATAGTTCGTACATTTTTGTATGTCTCATTTGTTCTTGTCAATAGGTATCACAATATTTTTCCTCTATTCGTCTGACATTTTTTCTTTCTCAACACCTTGTTGAGCAGCTTTGTCAGCCACTCAATGTCAATCTTCCTCATGCACTTTTAAACCTCTATCGGGATTTCATATGGTCCTAAAGCTTTTTCTTTCTTCATCATTTTCAAAGTTTATTTCACTTCTAAAATCCTAATGATACGAATGTATTTATGACATCCGCCCTCATTTGTACAAACAGTTTCTTCTATTTCCATTGTGTTCGTCACTTAATAAATTTTGAAAATAAACTTTTCACCTTTCGTTGACATCGTCATCCTTCACTAATAACTTTTGACTTTCGCTCTTAATGAGTAAGTTTTCACGGTATTTTATTCATGATTTATCGCTATCTAAAATTCGTCATAAATCATAGTTGTCTTATACTATTTAAATTTTAATAAAAAATTTTGCAAGTCATATTTATTTGAAAATTAAGGTTTGTGAATATCTAACTAACTCATACCTAAACAAATATTAGAAAAGTTATCAAAAAAAATAAAATGATTAAAGTACCTTTAAAAATTATAAGGGTAATTTGGTCATTTTATTATTAGAATTATATTTTTATATTTTATTTAGGTGCGCTTTACTAAAGCCCACACACACAAAATTTTAGGTGAATCAAATTTTTTTTCAAAAAATTGAAATTCAAAAACTACCTAACAATCATGATCTTTGGATGGACTTTAGACAATGATAGAGCGTAAGTGAAACGTTGTAGAAATTCATTTTCCTATAGATGCATGATACAAAAGCCGCATAAATACATGATGCAAAAGCTGCATAATCTAGCCAAGCATGCCATTTAAAATCCATGTATCGTGGACTATTTAACATCCTTTGATTCCTTTCTCTTGTTCTTGTTTTTATTTTATCATTTCATTGATTCGGCAATCCAAATGAGAAACAATGGGTGGACAATTTACCCCAACAATCTGTTTTTAAATTACGATCGTTTTTAAAACACAGCCCATGATATTAATCTATCTAATTATGAGAAATAACCAAGGTTTTAAAAAACAGTTTGGTGAACCGTATTATATATTTGGAATTATGATCCAATCTACTATACCAAACATTAACAAGCTAAATAAAAAATAAAAAGTATAAAAAAAAGTAGGGCCAGTTCAGACCAGTTCTATGAATAGAACCGGCCTGTTCTATCAAAAAACCGGCCAAAATAGATTGTCTCTTCGATTCGGTAGGAACCAGTTCGCCGCTAACAATTCTCCATTCCAATCATTGTTTATTTAAACCTAGGAAATAACAAAAGAAAAAGGACCAAGTTTTATATAGAGCCGAGGCTCTAAACAATCAAATTAGAGCCCACTTAAAAAAATCCAATAGAAGAGGTTGTTTTGATGCCCAAATATCCTCAAATTGATCATCTCGACATCCAGCTGCATAGACATGAGAAAATAAAAGATTTCAAGTTTTAGAAATAGTGCATCTTGTAACATATTTTTTGACCGTCAATTTTCAATATTTTCAAGTTTTTATACATCTGCTCGATCAACCCTACTTTTGAAAGTTTAAATTTTATATTTAAAGATGAAAATATATTTTAAGACTATCACAAAAATTTCTAATATTGAAACAACATTTCTCAACACTATTTGAGGGTGGGCTCTAGTTTGATTGCTTAGAGACTCGCTCCATACCAACTGCACCAAAAAAAAAAATGCATCAGAAACCAAATCCAGCATTTATCGGTATTGCCTTGCTATTGTTCTCTAAACCAAAGAATCGCATTTGTTCACAAGAGTACTACGACTAGAGAAAGACCTTTTGTGTTGCATGGACTCGCTACAACCTGGTCCTAGGTGGGGCCACCATTTGCCCTAGCTTGCCCCTTGCCCGCGTAGGGCTGGCCCACCCTTGTGTTATGATGGCTTAGTCCACGGGCTACATTTTGTGGCCCATGCTCTAGTTTTTTTCGAGCTGAGCGGATCTTGTTGTGCGCGCAGAAGCTTTAAACCCAATGAATTGATTTTTGACAAATAAAATATGAAATACATCTACAATAACATAAATATTTACGTGGTTCACCCAATAGAGCTATATCCACGGACACGGCAAATAAAATCCACTATATCAATAAAAGTTACATCAAAGATATTCTTACCTCTCTTACTCTCAACAAATCACGTCAACAAAACCAAGTCGAGCAAACATTTTTAAACCACTCTCCCTTCATTTTCTTTAGTTCTGGCAGTTATTAATGACAACATTAGATGGAGATGCAAGAATAATAAGAAATTGACTTTCTCTCTAATTAAAAAGGAAACAACTCAAAATTTCTATGAGAATCGTTTCTCTATAAAAAAAAAGCATCTCAATCTTCATGAAGCACCATCCCAATGTTTCTCTACATAAAAAGCTTTACTCTCTAAGAGGAAATCTTGCATCTTATACATAGGAGGCATTGCCCCCTCCCCACCCTCTCTCTCTCTAGAGGAAACCATTATTCTCATATGGTAACTCAGAACGCAAATTCTATGCACTTTCATCCCAAATATATAAGATTATGAGTCCATATCAAATATATAAGATTAAGAGTCCATACTAAATGTTCTTTTTTTTTTGTTTTTATATTAATTTTTTTGATGTATAATTTTCTCCCTTTAGATAGATAATTGGTTGTTCTGCCTCTGAAAATACATGCACTGTGGCTCGTTAATTTATATTCACGAAAAGCAACCCAACTCTATGTTAGCCCATTCTCAAGATGATCCAAGCCGCATCTAAAAATTCAGGCTCGGGCCTAACCCAGCAAGGGCCTCCAATCTGATTCTCCTATTTTGACTCGAACGATTCCCTAGTGAAGCCGAGTTACAATTATTAAAAAACTTAAAAAAAATTAAAAATTGGGAAACTTTGGTGATTTATTTGATTGTCTACTTCCTCGTTCTAATCTGACTTGGCTAGATTCAAGTTGATCGAACTTTGCTGGATTAAATTAAGGGAGATTTTTAGTCACTAATCCAAGATACATGACAATGTCCCCCTTCAATATTCTCTATTTGATTCAAATATATTATTGGGAAAATATCATTAAAGAGCCAAAACACCATGTGAAATGATTTAGGGGGTCAACAGAGCTCAATTAATTTTATATGATTAATTTTGTAATTTTTATTTCATTCAAATTTCTTCTAAAAATTGTTATAAAAAAATAGATAAATTGTCCTCATTTAGACTTGAGAAGCTGAACAAGGACTCAGGTTTTAGCAATTTGACCAATGATAGACAAGCAATGGTACTCTTATCGTTTAATTGCAGCCTCTTAAGTATGCTAAATATGCCCTTATCGCTATAGAATTCTCAATCTTGAACAAGGACAAAGCATTTTGAAGGATATTTTTACAATGAGATATTTGAATGAAATGAAAATAAAAAATAAAACCCTCAATGCTAATTGACTATTTTAACCCGCTCCTTAAATGATATTTTCCATGTAAAGCCGTCTCTCTTTCTTGGAGATGGTGCATGAGATAATCGGCATGTAAGATACAGCTATGAAAAGAGAAGCCTATTAATTAAAAATTTACAAATATATGTCATAAAATTAAAATCGATAAGGAGTATGGCTATTTAAGAGGGTAGCATTTAAATATGAATTGGTAGCATTTAAATATGCCTTTAAATATTGCACGGAATACAAACGTCATCAATTGAAACGTTATATTGAAAGCAAAGTCATAAGAAGGCGTGTACTCAAAAATAATTTATTGGGAGTAAGTCAAGTAAAACACAAGAATTACATATGAAGTAAAAAGCTTGAAATAACTAAAACTAAAAATAATAATAATAAAATAATAATAATAATTTTTTTATATAAGGTTGACGGCTTAAATTGAAGAATTAAGTTCCACCTCAAAACTCCGTTGGAAAAAGCTATTTTGATATTGAAAAACCACCTAATTGATCATCTTGACATCGAGATGTGTAGATATGAAAAAAATAATTTCATGTCCTGAAAATTATATATTATATAATATATTATTTGGACTGTCTATTTTTAAGACTTTCATATGTTGATAGATTTGCTTGATTTGAACTATTTAGTTTAGAATTTTATAATTAGAGATGAAAACATATTCTTGGGCCATTCTAAAATTTTTCAGCACCAAAATTGCATCTTATGACTAAACTTGAAAGTGCACCTTACTTTGATTGATTAAGGTTGTAGCCTTATGCCAAACTTAACCATAACTAAAAGCCAAAAGTGGTTATATGAGGCATTGATTTAAAAAAATCAAAATAAGGCGCGCCATTGACCTTTTTGAACGATTGAGTTGAAAAGCTTTTACGATAACTTAAAAATCTATTTTCATATTTGATTGTAAATTTTAAAGCTTTAAAATTTGTGTAGATCAAGTAGATACGTAAATACTTTAAAATTTTGAAATAGATTATCTAGATAATATGTCATAAAATGTATTATTTTTAGGACTTAAAATCATTTCTCTCATATCCATGCATTTTGAGGTCGGGACATGGATTTCCATATCCGAAATAAATTTTATGGATTAACTTTTAAATTTTACCTCAAATTATATTATAAGTTTCATGCCTTGTGTAAACTTTTTTTTTGGAAGAAATTAAAAGAAAAATACCTAAAACTAAATTAAAAAGGTCAAAGAAAGTATATAGTAGTCACTTCCAAAATTTCAACGAAGTCGTCAAGTTCTTTCTCGAAATAAGCGTTAAACATGGGTACTAAAAATAAATAAATAAGTGCAGTTTGTAAAAGGTTACAACCCTATTTTTAGTGGGATGGTAAAAATTTCACAAAACTTTTAAGTTGATATCAAAAGATAACACCTTCAACTAAAGCTTCAACTAAAGCTGAGGTCCTAAACAATATAATTAAGGCGCACCTTCAAATAATGTCAAGATGTTCATTTCAATATCATAAATTACTAGAATAGCTTTAAAATTTATTTTTATTTTGATGTTTAAAAAATTTATTTTTATCTTTACTTACAAAATTTAAAAATAAAAAAGAAAATATCTCTTTATCCTATATTTTTAACTTTCATATCTCATAAGACTCAAAAATTAAAAATATTACTTGTAAGCAAAATGTCTCCATCTTTTATATCTTACAACTCCTGAACGATAAATTTTTGACTCAAACAAACACTAAAATAACACCCTATTCAAACTCATCTCTCTCTTTTTTCGCTTCTCGGTGAGTTTACCGGTCAAGAAGTTTAACTTGAGCTTGAACACGAGCACACCTTCTTATGTGTGAGAGAGAGATGGAGTTTGGGTTTTAGAGAGAGATGAAGTTTTAGAGAGAGATAGAGTTTTGAGAGAGAGACATGATGTGAGAGAGAGATGGAATTTAGAGAAAGAGAGATAGAGTCATTTTATAAGTTGTTGAGATCAATAATACACGGTCAAAAGGGTTTAGGGGGTTAGAAGATAAAAAAAATAGAGTTTTTTTTCTTATCAGTAATATTTTCAATTCTCGAATCTGATGAGATATAGAAGTTAAACATATGAGATATAGAAGTTAAACATAGGCGATAATAAGATATTTTTCCTATTTTTATATAATAGTAATGGATAGAGTTTATGTGAATTGGCTTGCTTATCTATTAATTTAGCCCTCTCTTCCAAATCCATTTTAAAGATAGAGTTTAGATTCAACATTTTAGGAAATGAAAATCTCAACTATAGTGAGTACGAATATAAAATAAATAAATTTTAAAAATAAAAAATGACATTTGTATAAAATATTCACACATTCACACAATTAGTTTTAAATTTTAAGGGACCACCAATTTCTAACATCCATGGATGTTTAATGCATAAGATGATGTACAAAAATATTGCAGAAGTGCGTCCCCTTTCACATAAATAACTTTTTTACATCAAATTTACACCTTCAAAATAAAATAGATGGTGTGGATTATTACAATCTTACTTCTATAAATAAAACTGCACCTCGTGGTATCTTTGTGTTTTTGTAGTACCCATTTTTAACATTTATACCTTACAAATAGGTGAATTTTGAAAAAAAATAAATTTATATAAAATTGTAACTTTTTTTTTGTTATTGAAATAAGGTTGTCACTTATTTTATTTAGATAATACATATTAAATATTATTTTTAAAAATATATAATATTTTAATATTATTTTTAAAAATATACCAAATTTACACCGTCCAAATAAGATGAGTATTTTAAATATCGGAACCTCATTTCCACCGGTTACAACCTTAAAAAAAGGTGATAGAAATGGGGGCAATTGCACTACGCTCTCTCTCCCTCACATCTGGATTTTTCCGCGAAACAAATTCCAAAAAATAAAAAAAACAAAATATTAAAATATAAAAAGTCAAAAGAAAGGAGAAAAATAGAAAAAGACAAGAAAAAGGGGTGGAGAGAGAGAAAAAAGAAAAACGAGAGAAAGTCATTTTATGTTGCTGATGACAAAGCCTGCTAAAAAAGCGCAGAAACCAATTCTTCTCTTCTTTTTTGTAAGAAATCCTCAGCTTCTTTACACAGAGAGTGAGACGCTTTTCTAGGGTTTTCTGCTATACCCAAAAGATTGAGGCTCTGTAAATTTTAGCTTATACAAAAGCCAATTCAGACTTAAAGAAGAGACACACACAAAAGTTTGATTTCTCGATGCCCTAGGGTCTCACTTATCTGAAACTGTCTTTTACTTCTTCAACAATGTCATCTTCTGTTTCTGTTCGTGTGGAGAAAGCCACTAGCGATCTCTTGATCGGGCCTGACTGGACCATGAATCTTGAGATATGTGACTCCATCAATTCTGACCAATGGTTAGAACTGGAGCTTCAGTTTTGGATGCCCCGATTTTCATTTCTCTGATCATTTATAGCTGTTGATTAACCAGTTGAATTCTAATATCTGTTTTTTTCTGTTGATTCTTTTGATGAAATTTCATGGAGGTAATCTGGTTTTAATAGTATTTCGATGAATTTATGTAATTTGATTGCAATTTATTGCATCGTTTTAGTATTACATGCTAGAAAGTATTTCTGTATTGTGCGATTCCATGGAATGGCTCTTGCCTTAAGTTTATTAATCCTTGTTGTAAGAAATTCCTCAGCTGACCCTGTGGAATTCAAGTTATTGCACAGTTTCATTGGTGACTGGGTTGTAAGAAATTCCTTAGTTTCTTATTCCGTGCTGTGTGTGTGTGCACACGCGCAAGCCTGTCCGTGCATGCGTGATAGCTAGTGCTGTGGAGACGTCTGGATTTCAGTTCTCTTGTTCTATTCTTATATATCTTGGAATGCAGCTTTAAGTTAGCTGGGACCTTTACCTTTATATGAAACTAGAAAACCAAGTTGGATAGCTATCTAGACAGCTCATACAGCATAATGGTTCTTATACATACCATTTCCTAGACCTGTAATCAATGATTTATTTGACCATCCATTCTCACCTTAGGCGGCTCCCCTTATCAATCAATGCATATTGGAAATCAAATACTTTCATATGATTTTTCTGAAAGATTGTTAGAAATATAAATTTATTCTAGAAATGCGTATTGTATTATACTTTGAGAATCATCATTAACCAGAAGTTCTAGAATTACCTGACCCAACCATGGCCCTAGGAATGGAAGATAACTGAAAATAGAGAGAAGCATTTTGCGTTTACTGTAACATTGAATTATCTGAGCTGATATTTCAATCGACTTGTCTTACGAAGTGGTCTTAACGTAAGCCATGCCATGTCAAATTTGCATGATTGCATTGACATGAATGAGTATTATCCTTCGAGAATCATCAATAACCAGAAATTTCTAGTATTTACCTGACCTAATCGTAGCCCTAGGAATGAAGGATAACTGAAAATAGAGAGAAGCATTTAGCAGTTACTGTAAGATTGAATTACCTTGGCTGATATTTCAATTGACTTGTCTTATTAATCCATGCCATGTCAATTTGCTTAATTGCATTGACATGAATGATTCATAAAATGGGAAAAATATTTTTTGGTGTGATTGTGTGATTGCCTGTCCCCTAGTAAGCATCCCATTTCATCCTAGTTTTCTGAGATTTTTTGGTACTTCGTGTCATATTTTTTGATAGTTTTATGAGATTGTACTAGAAAACATTTTAGGTGGGTCTAATGTCTTAGTTCTGTTTGAGATGATGCAGGCATGCAAAAGATGTTGTCAAAGCAGTTAAGAAGCGTCTTCAAAATAAAAATCCAAAAGTTCAACTGCTTGCCTTAACGGTATGTTATGGCTTCAAAGCTTGGTATGCTTTTTCTATAAGATATCTCTTTTTCCTTTGTTATGTGCATGTAAAAGATTAACTAATGAAAAAAAATTAAATATCACTTATTTCTATTCAAAGCTAAGAATCTAGGTTCCTCACTAGAGATTTTGACAATGCTTCTAGTTAAGAGCATGTAAAACCCAACGGAAAATATCAATACAATGGTCAAACCACCTCAAAAAATCGACGGGATGGTGAAATCAATTAATTTACTAACAAAAAGGTTACTTTTAAAAATTATTTTACATAGGTACCTCAACTATTTTGTCAGAAAATCCCCAACCTGCCCTTGGTCCGTCTAGGTTTGGAACCCTGAACAAGCGAGGGTCATTTTGGTAAATCGAAAACTTAAGTACTAGAGCCAAATGACCTAAATACCCCTGCTTGTTTCAAGTTGCAAACCTAGAACATGGTTTTTCATTAAAAAAATTTGTTCTCGGTTTGCAAGCAGGAACACATGGTATTTTGTGTCATTAGGTTCAAATGACTTTAAGTGGAGCTAAATTACCAAAATGTCTCAAACTTGAAACAATTTCTTTTTTAAAAATAAAATAAAAAGGCATGTTTCTGGTTTGAAACCTAGGCCAAGCATTGGTATTTAGGTCATTTGGCTCAAGTGAGTTAAGTGGGTCAATTACCAAATGCCTTCATTTGTTCAGGATTAAAAACCTATAACAAGGGTAGTTTTAGTTTTTTAAAGAAACTCTTGAGGTACCTAAATGACAGTATTTTAGAAGTGACCACTTTGATGGTAAATATGTGGATTTAACCACCTCGTTAATTTTCTGGGGTATTTTGACTTCCCAGAAAAAAATAATGCAACGTGATATCTGCTCAAAATCTCAATTAAATAATGAAACTATAGTTTGTCATTGCGGTGTTTATCCCATGTTCATAATAATAAATGAAAAAGTAATAGCTGTAATATCTGCACAAATAAATAATTATTGGCAATATAACTAGTTTAAACGAACTTGGCCATGTTAAAAGATCAAACTCCCCCATTATTGCTGGAGACGTATGGAATATGAGGCCAAATCATTGCCTTATGCCCGACAATATAAAAAATACTCTGTAGAAGAACATAATATTTTCTTTTGAGGTTGAATTATTCTTTTTGCAGTGATTAATGGGAATGTCTTTTAGATCAGTTACTTGGTATTGGTCGTGATGATGTTACTTTCTCTTGCAGCTTCTGGAGACATTGATAAAAAATTGTGGTCAATTTGTGCATCTTCAAGTTGTTGAGAGAAATATTCTGCAAGAAATGGTGAAAATTGTGAAGAAAAAGGTCTATTTGCGCATATGTGTTTCAATTTCTCTATAACTTTTTGAATTTCTCTCTAACTCATGCGTGAAGTTAGGGTATTGCTCAACCTTATTTGACTTGTTTTGTTATTGTGTGCATATGTGGTTTTTGTTGTATGCTTTAGGAGAAGTGTAATGCTTAGTAACTTCTATTTGGAACTTGTAATGTTAATGTTGAATTTGTCTTACATTCAGGAAAATCATTAGTCATGGTCATGTCGAATGAACTGGGAGTTGTAGAACTTAATATATATTTCTCTAGGTGCATTATGTGTCCACTTAATGAGTGTACGCTTGGAAGTTGGATGGGATGTTAATTATTTGTGGATGTCTAAGGATTTTATCTTATAATCGTATGCAAGCATATTGATACTATCATTATCAATAAGAGAATTTGTATAAAACAGTTCTTATTTTTTTCCTCCCTACCCCCCCCAAAAAAAAAAAATGGCCACCCCAAAAACTTGTATAAAAGAGCACTTACAAGCTTAGAAATAAAATGAGGAATAACTGAACTCAGGTTTAGCATGTCCAAGACTCAGCTGATAGGTGTTTTTGGACGTTACAGTGAACTGGAAAGGTTGGCAAGAGGTATTTGGTGTGGAACAGACAAGTTTCCAACAAAATATCTTGGCTTGCAGCTATGTTTGGGCAAACTATAAAATTGTTTATGGGAAGGGTCTTGGAGAATAGGGAATTAGCATTAGGGAGGGCCAGATTATTGTCCACGGGAGGAAGAATGACCACAATAAAGTCCACTCTAGCTAACCTGCTAGTCTTCATTATTTCTTTATTCTTGATTCCACCAGTAGCATATGCAATTGAGAAGTTGATGAGAAGCTACCTTTGGGCAGGGTCATTGGGAAAGCCTAAATTCCACTTAGTTAGTTGGAACAAGTTCGTAGACCGAAATGGCAAGGTAGATAGGGTATTCACAAGGTCAATGATATCAATAGGGTCCCATTAACAAAATGGTGGTAGAGATTTGGGCAGCTGGTGGATCATCTATGTAGGCATGTAAAATGCAAATATGGATGTGAGCAGTTTTTTGGCTCGTGAAAGAACATCGGACCAAAGGAGGCTCTTGAGCTGTCGGTCAAGTTATATTGGTAAAATCGGAATGTACGAAATGGAAGCCTGGCAAGGTTTTGGATGGACGCTGTTTTGGACCCTCTTCACCTTGAGCACAGTTTCCTGAACTGTTTCCTTTGACAACAAGCCAGGAAGTTACAGTTAAAGTAGTAGGGGAGGACAGCAAGCTAACTGGTCACCAGGTCTAACGAGTGCATTACAAGAGGAGGAGATTTGGATATTTGCAAATATGTTTGAATCTCTACATTAGATATGCTTTGGACCAAGTGGGAGGAAGAACTGATCTGGGCTTATAGTTTGCAGTCGGATACTTGTTAACTGCTGTTATAAGGACTTGGGGTATTCCTGTCCCTCACATGAGGCAAGGATTTATATGGCTATCTGCGTTGGACAAGGTGCTGACTATCAAGGGGATGTGGGAACAGTTGGTCTTCTCTTCAAAAAAAAAAAAAAAACAGTTGGTCTTCGGTCTTCTCTTCCTGCGTTGTCCCTTTGTAATATAAATCATGGATGTACGCTCTGGATCTATCTATGGGTACATCCAGCCCCTGTAGATGCTATACTGATACCCCTCTGCTACCGAAAAATCCCTCTGCAGCTAAAAAAGAGCATTATCTTGTGGACTGACAAAAATAGCACTGCCATGGCTACTGTGGTTGTAAATGAACAACATATTCTTCAATGAGAGAAGTTGTTGGGCTCTTAAGAGTTCTAGAAAATTTTTAGAGTCATAGTTTGGGCCAGAGCTAGAAAAGAGTTCTGGGGATATTCTGTTTAAAAGTTTGAGACTCAGTGGAAAGAAATTGTAAATGATAGGAGACAGATTGATGTGACCACGTAAGTAGGATCCTTCTCCCATGGGGTTTGTCCAATTGAACCTTGACGGAAGTCCAAAAGATTACCCTGGACCTGCAAGGGTGGGTGGAAATTTTCCGGGATCACCACAGTGAACTTTTGGTGATATACTCCGGATCAGCACATAATTGTCATGCAGATGAGGCTCTGCTATGTTCCCTGTTACAAGGATTAATAAACTTCGCCGAAGATGGCCGAAGGATATTATAGAAGGGGACTTAAGTAATGTCATAGGTAGCTACCAGGCAGGGAACTTGCTCATGGAATCATTGAAATGTGTTTGATAAAGTTGAGTAGCTTATTGAGAGGATAGAGGTATCCTATAAACACAATGGAGAGATCCAATATTGAAGTGGACACATTTGTGAGAGAAGGGATATCTAAATGGTATGTTATACTGAATCATTTTGTGATTTAAAGTTTTGTGAATAGAGCCTAATGTACGCAAACTCTTTTAGTTAAGGGTTGTACACTTGTAGGGAACGTATTCTCTGGATATGCAGTTGCCACATCATGCTTACCCTTGGACATGTAAACAAGAAGTGCTGGCTTTAAATGAGGTGCTGGCTACAACAAACTCTGGATTTGGGACAGAACCAACATCCATCACCTTAAATTTCTCCACAATAGTTAGGCTTAATAAATTTAGATTTTGTATTCTCGTTAGAATTTTTGTTGATTGTATTCACCGAGATCTATTTCTTTTCCCAGCTTAAAACAATAATTGGATGTATATTTCATCAACTTTAGTATTTTTTTCTTTTGAAGAAATATTTCATCAACATTGTAAATTAACAGCAAATGGAAAGGGATATAGGAGGCCTATGGCATACAAGACAGAGCTGCCACTGCTGTCTTAGCAGTTGCTAACTTAAGCACAAATATATAAGGGTGAAGGAGAATACCCTGATGATCCTTGAATATAGTCAGTATTCATTCTCCTTAATGGAAATTATTTGGTGAGGACATGTGCAAAATCTAAAGATGACCCCTCTCTTTTTGCTCCTGTAAATGTGTTGGCAGACATGTGGATATTCAGTTTTCCTTCTTATTTCTATTGTCTTTGTATGGTATATTGTGCCACCCTTATTGAGTTATTTTTCTTATCTTCACTTTCTTCATTTGCTTCTTTCCACTATGCGTATTCCTGTGTTCCATTAATTTAAGGAATGTCATATGATAAAATGACCTTGCCCTGGTTTCAGACAGATATGGAGGTGAGAGATAAGATTTTGGTGCTATTAGATTCGTGGCAAGAAGCATTTGGGGGTCCAGGAGGAAAGTATCCCCAATATTTTTTGGCTTATGATGAATTACGGGTGAGTCTAATGAACTTTCTGGCGGTGGAACCTTCATAACAAAATGTGGTAGTCCTGCTTGTACATAAAGACATTGTTGGACTAGAGGTGGTTGTGAATCTGAGCTCATTTCATAGCTTCTCTGTTCTGTAGCCTTCAACTGAAAATTTGTAATTTTCATTGAAGTTGCAGGCTTTATTTCTAAGTTTGTTATTTACTCTTTCTTGAAGTAAGAATTGCTATCAGTATCTGTCATCTTATATAAATCTAACTATACCATCCTGGATAGTCATGATTATCAGATTATTGTAAAGGAACATGTGCTATTCTTCTCTTTCAGATAACGAGTTCACAATGTCAACATGTTCATGTACTTTGATGTCTTTGCAATGCCATGTCTATTAATATGTAGAGGCATCATACAAACTCTTGTGCATCTAGGTGAATGCTCTTGGATTTGTATGCAAGTGCATGGTTCTGATCTGACTTTAAGGGATGACGGAATTTTGTTACAATTCAAACAACAAAAATATGGCAAAATACCATTCGTAGACATACCAAAAGTTTATCCATCTCATGTAAGTTTGAGGAATTAGTTGCCTATATAAATCACAAACTGTTGTTGTGTAGAAAATGCATCCCTTTAAGCCTATCTATATGTAATGATTGCAGAGATCTGGGGTAGAGTTCCCTCAACGTTCAGGAAATACAGTTCCAGTCTTCACTCCTCCAGTTACACATCCTATAGCTAGACATCCTCAAACAGGTTATGGAATGCCTCCTGATGCTTCTAGGAGGCTGGATGAGGCAATGGCATCTGAAATGCAAGGTTTGAGGTAACACTTGGTTATATTTGTGATTGTAATTCTACTCCACTGTTCAATTTCATTTTCAACTTGCTTGATATGTACTATGACATGTCATGCCTCTTTCCTCCCTCCACTCTATATGATATGGATTTATTTTATCCAGTCTTATGTTTCAGTTTATCAAATATGGATGCTATCCGGAGTGTAATGGAACTTTTGGCTGACATGCTGCAAGCTGTGAATCCAAATGATCGTAATGTAAGTAGGCCAATCCAGCAGAAAGGATGAAATCTATTTTATGCCTTTGGGCATTGTGAATTCTAAGGGGTTTACTTGTTTTGTCATAATCTTATAATATTGTTCAAGAAGTATAATTGTTCAAAACATTGTACAAATAGCGGGTCTCAATACAACTGTATAGTATATTCAAGTTTTCCAGTATCCAGCTGTGAATCATGTCTGGCATCCATTTGTCTGATTAGTTGCAACCTCATTCACGTGAGGATTTGCACTATGGGGTTCCATTTGCGAGGCTTTTGATGCTAAGCAATAGAGATACTTTCACGTGTGAAATGAGTAAATATATGAGAACTTGTGAATGTGTACGAGTGCAGCTTGAGCTTTGTTGACATGGCTTAACTGAGTGCTTTGCAACTTGTCTCTCTCATAGTTATTCTGATGACTGCGGAATGACAGTAGATTACCATATGCTTTTTCATACTGGTGGTTCCGTTTTCATCTGGATTCTATACTATTCCAACTCATTAAGCAAATATCTCATTATAGTCGGAAATTCCAGGGAGAGGTGACTAATCTTTTCTTGGTTAGATCTGTGATAATTGGTTTTTAAGTCTTTTATCTCCAAGCGAATGGGGCAGCGGGTATGTGCATTCTCTGTGATCCTAACAGATATCTTGATGGGTATTTTCTTAGGCATGGGGCTGGTATATGGTTTTCCTAGTGTGCCTCCAACTGAAGTTGTTACATGAGATGCATGAGATATGCCCTTGTTTGTATCTTTATTGGACTTGTCATCCTTGCACCATTTTGTTATTCATAATCTCTTTGTAGTGTCATTCAACCTTGTCGCTTATCACGGTGCTTTCATTTAGGCTGTTAAAGATGAAGTGATTGTAGATCTTGTTAGCCAATGTCGCTCCAACAAAGGAAGGCTGATGCAATTGCTAAATTCAACTTTGTAAGTTCTAAACATGGTGGATTCCATTAACTTCACATTTCATAAAAATAATGCAAACCATCATTTTGGTGATTAATCATTTTTAAACTTGTTTGGTCTTTTGAGTTTAAGATTCTGGATTGGTTTTCAAAGTCGTGAATTCTTTTGCTGATGGTTCAAGCTACATTACAATTATGCTGTGGTTACTTGCTTTGACTACTCACTCTTTGTAAGGAATGCAGGGATGAGGAGCTTCTTGGACGGGGCCTTGCATTGAATGATAACCTACAAAGTCTACTTGCCAAGCATGATGCCATTGCATCTGGTTCTCCCCTACCATCAGAGCCTGTTGCTTCAAGTTCCACAAGAATTTCTACTCCTGCACCCCTTGCAACTGCTCGTGGTGAAAAGGATGATGAAGATGAAGATGATGAGGATGATGACTTTGCTCAACTTGCTCGCAGGTTATACCTTATGCTTTCTATGACTCCCACATGACGTCTGGTTTTCCATTATTAATTGGGGAACCTATTGAATTGGGAAGTAGTTCGGCCATAGGGCGCCATTGCCGTCACATCACTGATTTCAAGTTTGATGATTGGAGAGTGGGTCCCTCCATCAAACGTGCAATTGGTTTGAACTGTACCAGGGCTGTCACACCTTCACCATCCAACCTATCAATGGGATGGTGATCACCTATATTTCTACTCCTTTCTTTGAAGATAATCAGACTCACCAAATTTAAAAACTGGGTTAGACTTATAAAGATTCATAGGACTTTTCAGAAGACTTGGGCCAACACCATGTCTTACTGGAGTTGCAGAAAAAATAATAGAAATGTTCCATGAAACTTCCTTGGATTATATTCTCCGAGTTGTCACAGAACTTAGTCAACTTGGCTAGGACAAGGCTAAGTCCCACCAATTGAGTTCAACTTTGCCTTCAATTTTAAATTATGCGAGGTGTGAGGACATTGGATTTACTTAATAACTCCAAGGCTGAGTTTTTTATGGCCTTGCTTTTCTCATCTATGTTGTTGCTATTCCCAGCCAAAATGAGTGGGAGTAGCAAAGCACCAGATTGCCAGTATTTTTTTAGGGTGGAAGTAGCAAAAGCAAATATTCATGTGAAGTTGCTTTTCTCTTCACTACTTAAGTATGAATTTAGGGTGGAAGTAGCAAAAGCAAATATTCATGTGAAGTTGCTTTTCTCTTCACTACTTAAGTATGAATTTTTTCATGTGAGTACATCTTTATTCATTAAAAACAACTTGCATATGTCCAGGCCTTCAAAAGCCTGGCCAGTACCTTCTCATGGCTTATCTGGTGAAACCAGTAACAAGTTTGATTCAGCCCAGTTGAATGACCCATCAGTGACAACCTCAAATACAACCAATGCTGCAGCTACATCTACATCTACAACTACCAACACAAACTCCATATTTAGCGGTCCATTAGCTTTACCGGAGCCCCCACAACCAGTAAGAACGACCACAAAAGCGCTGGACATGATCGACCTCTTGAGCAACACTCTAGCCACCAGTTCTTCACCTCACACCCCTCTCACTCCTCACATCCCTCTCACTCCACCGCATGTCGGTCCCACTTCACCTTCTTTCACTACAAACCAACCTCACACCCCTATGGGCCCTATGTCACCTTCTCTCACCACAAAGCAACGTCATACCCATGCAGGCCCTATGTCACGTTCTCTCTCTACAAACCAACCTCAAACCCCTCGCACCCCCACAGGCCCTACATCACCTTCTCTCACCACAAACCAACCTCACACCCCTTTCTCTCCTCCTACCCCGTCAGGACCTGCATCATCGTCTTCCACCTCACACCGACCTCCATACACTAACCATGCAGACCCATCTTCTCACCAATCCTCCATCACCCCAAATGCTCAAGGTTACCCCTACAATCCTACTCCATACCTCAATCATCAAGGGCAAGTTCAAGTCCCATACAACACTTACGTTGCACCTTGGGCTCAACAACCTAGATTCACCCAGTCTCCAATACAGAACCCATCTAGTGTTTATCCTCCTCCACCTTGGGCTACTGCAAATTTGGGTTCTGGGGCTCCTATACAACAAAACCCTTATCAATTCCCGGTCTCTCAATCGAATCCCACTACTACTTACTCCCCTCAAAAGGCATCGCCAACTTCTCTTCAGCAGAATTACTCTTTTGGATCGAGGGTCAACAATGCAACCCCATCTTTGGGGGGTGAAGCAAGCAATGTACAAAGGCAAGCACCTCAGAGATCGTTCATTTCGGCTGATCACTATTTTGAGGGCCTCATTGACTTGAAAGGCGCAAAGGGAAGTAGCACCTCACCAAAAATGAACAGGGAAGGTACATTAGGTGGAAGAAAGTGAACTTTTGTATTAATTGTGTTGCATATTTGAGGGAATTTGGAATTCATTTGATGGTATGTATATGTGATGGTTGCCATTGCAAGTATGTTGTTTGTTGCATTAATGTTTCTATACTATGTGTCTGTGTTTTTAGTTTTTGTTCTTGCTGCAAATTATTTTCCTTCTTTATACGCTCAACACACGAACCTTGACAAGATAATGAACACTGCCAGAAGCTACCTAGGTTCACAAAGTGTGCTAGTATTGAGCAAATTCTGGTATGTAATTAGAACTTATGCTGATTTCTGTCCTATGTAACAAAGGCATTTGTGCAGCCTATGGTAATTGATATACGTATCGTTTTAATTAGAATTAGCACCAGAATTGATTATGGCCTTTAAATCGATTTGTGAGATAGAAATGTGGTGATCTTTAGGAGATGGTAAGTTGCTTTACTTTGGGAAGAACTTGGATTTGGGTCAGTAGTTACATGATTTACATTTTGAATCCCAAATCTTAATCAGAAGGTAAGCTTTCAGACACTGATGATG